CTTCAACTCACAAAAAAGAATAGAAATCAGTATGGAACACATGTCATTCCAACCTAGGCTCTTTCACCAACTGGTCTGCATGAGCCAGGGATACTATGCCACAGCATTGAAGGCAAAGGCTGAGACAGGTGAGAGGATAAGCCAACTGGGTCAGAGCACCCACTGGCACGTGTGCTATCTAGGGCTGGGAATAGACTCGGTTGGGAAGCTGTGAGAGAATACCTTTGCTGGGTTGGGATTCCCACGGGAGGGTGCGCGGGCTGGGGTGGGGGCTGCGTTCTGGTCTCAATATGGTTGCAATTTCTCTAGGCACAACTGTGGACTGGGGTTGGGTGCACCAAGCTGGGCTAGATGCCTTCACCATCTGGCGCTCTGCAGAATCTGGGTAGATGTAGGATGGACTAGGCTAGGTCTCTGCCCCTACTGAGCCATGTGTGAGCAGTGTCTGGATATGGACAAGCCTTGGCTGGGGTGAAACAGTCAAATATCAAGAACTGGAATGAATTCAAGGCCAGCAATGAGGGCTGGCCCATGGAACCACCAGTATGTGCAAGACCTGGCACAGGGAGAGGTTCTGAAGCAGGAGCTTGGGAAACTCCTCTGTCGGAACACAGCGCAACAACCACAATATGGAGCAGCCCAGACCAGGCGAAAGAAGATACCTACCATCATACATATGGCATAGGTGGGGGACAGACCAAGCTGAATCAGTTCATAGCAACCGCTGGCGAATCCGAGCACCAACATAGAGTGTGGGTCAGGCCAGTTTCAGTTGTAACACATACCAGTGCACATTAAGGAATGCCAAGGTGAAGTGAGCCGTACCAGATGTGGTTGCAGTGCCTAAACAGCACAAGTGAGAAACGGGGGGAGAGGAGACAAAGCTGGCAGGGAAATGTAGGTTCTCATGTTGGAAAACCACTCCCATTGGAGAGTGTGAGTTGGGATGGGGCCAGACCAGACCAGGCAGGGCTACAACACCTGTGGGCCTCATGTGAGCTAGACAAGAGAAGGGCCAGATTGGGCAGACTGTTCCGAATGGTGCAAGCAAAAATTAGAGTGGGTGAGGGTTGGTTGGGCTTTGCCACATCATCAGATGGTAGAGGCTGGCACTGGAGGCCAATTCTGTTAAGTCAAATGCCAGAACCACCTGGAAAATGTACAATCCAGAAGTTGGAGTGGCCTAGTAGGGAGATAGTGGGCACCTCCCTCGTGGGTAACCACTCCCACTGGAGAGCATGAAAACCAGGACAGGGGCAGGGGTGGCTAGACAGAAAGGCACCTGGCAGTATGTGTGTGGGCTGGATAGTAGGTTGGTTGGGTTGAACTAGGCTTCAATGCCCATTGACAAGTACCAGAGCTAAACAGGATGTGGGACAGACTGAACAAGCCTGCGGTACTGGCATGCATGGGAACCAGGGTAGGGCGCAGGTCTGGTGGGGGATATGGGGAGTCATCCCAACTAGGCTGCAGCTCCCACTGGTTTGCATGAGGACCGAGAACGTACTGGGTAGGATCGAGCTGGACTACAGCACCCATTGGTTCAAGTGGATGACAGGGCTGGAAACAGAACTGACCCAGCAATTGCAACAACCAGGATGTGTATAACCTGATTGGGGCGACGGACTGTGCCAGATCCTGTACAGACAAATTCACACAAGAACCAGGTTTGGGATCATCTCAGATGAAGTTTCTTTGGAGATCCCTCTAACTGAACTGCTGATCTCAGAACCCCAACCATAAAGACACTATGTCAGCCAGTAGATTCTGAATAGGTTTCATCGTGATTGGAATGGTGAGATTGGCAGCAATTCAGACCTGTTGAACTATCAAAACTGCTTGAGCAGGACCCTTGGAGCGTACCTCGCATTGGGGACCTGGGATGGGTGGAAGGTTGGGTGGGGTTTTTCCCTTTGTTTCTCACCTGACCCCAGGTACAGGGGAAAAAAAATGATATTAGTGTGGAAACAATGGTATTATCCACTTTCCTGTAGCCCTTGATCCTTTGTACCCTAAGCAACTAAATAAGATCATTAAAAAAAAATCAATTAAAAGAAAAGAGAAGAGGATGGAGGAAAAGGGTCAGCATAAAATTAGATCAAAGCACATCAAGATTTACTCAAACACTTTTGGAAGTAATATTAAAATGAGCTTATTTCATGTAAATATGCTAACATCCGTCTTTTACAAGTGTTCCTAAGGTATAGGGGAACATTTTATTGTAAGACCTTTTATCCATAGGACTTAACATGCGGAGGAAAACAAATGTTTTTCATTTGACTTTATATTTTTAAGATAACATCGACAAGACAATCCTGGCCACAAGAGCAGAATAAGGTCAAATGTTGAATGTTCAGTAACTCAGAAGAGATAATCAAGCCTGGATCTCAAAAGCAATCTATAAATATAAATGCTTTAAAAAAAAAAAAAGAAAGAAGCATACATATAGTGTTTGGCTAGATTTAGTGAATCCTAATGTTCACTTTTCTTTTCATATATTGAAGAAAACAAAAATGGCATCATGCTTTATAAGCCTGTTTGGAAAAGTAACACTTTGGCAGATGATCAGTAGAATTTATAACAGAAGCTACCTGGCATCAGCAAGTACATTTTTTTTAGTTATTCTCATAAAGAAAGCAACATTCAGTTTCATGTTCACATGTCTCAACGACACAACTTGCCTTAATGACTTTCTTTGGAACTCCTTGGGAAAGTCAGAAGGAGGGTCATATGATTGCGTGTCTCACTTAGCACAAGAGACCTTAATAAGTTCTAAATGTCATTTAAAATCGTTCAGTTGACAAGAGCAAAACAAGGCTTTCTCCTGGAAAAGTAGAAAAGCAAGTAGGACTTGCACAGAGCAACCTGGTACAGCCTTGCAGCCTGTGCATTTTAAAAGAGTTCTTAGCACAGAGGTGGGAAAAATTACTACCCAAGGAAAACCAACAGCTTCTGACAATTTAGTGGCTCAGGGAGGTTGTTTTTCATTCATATGAATATTTTTGTTCATTCAAAGACAGGTGTTAGAAGAAACTATCTCCCTATAGACTTATAGTATGAAACTATTATTTCATATTCACACAAAACCTCCAGAAAGTCTTTCATATTCTCATTGAGCAGAAATCATCAGTATTATGAGCAGTTACACTGGCTGCCAAGTTAAAAGGGGATCTAAGGTAAGCACAAATACAGGTCTCTAGAGAGAAACAGATAAAAATAAACAGCTATTTGGCATTGATTCAAGTGGGAAGAAAGTTTTTATATCACAAACACAAACACGTAAGCTAATGTTAGAATTACAGCAAGTCTAGTAAATATACCCTATTAAAAATTTCTTATAATATTCTGTTTTGAGGTTGGAGCTGTGGTTCAGTATAAAGGCTTCTGTTTGCGATGCCAGCATCCCATAGGAGTGCCAGTTTTGAGTCCTGACAGGTCCATATCTGATCCAGCTGTCTTCTAATGTGCCTGAGAAGACAGCAGAAGATGGCCCAAATCTTTGCTACTGCAGCCACGTAAGAGACCCGGATGGAGTTCTAGACTCCTGACTTCATCTGGCCCAACCCCAGCAATTATGGCCAGATGGGAAGTGAACAAGATGATAGACGCTTACTCTTTCTCCTCTCTCTGTAATTCTGTCTTTGAAATAAATAAATAGATTTTTTCCACCCTCCCCTACTCCCAAAAATCTTATTTTAGCTTTCCAAAGTCATTTATGTTACACAGATGTGACTGTAATTTTTACTACATTCTAATAAAAATTGTAATAAACACATAATGTCAAACACAAATGGCATATATAGTATGAATGTCAGAGCATATGGCATGCTTCTTAAAACTATTTAAAAAAATTTATTTGGAGATACAGAGATAGACATAGAAACAAAAGAAAGTATCCCTCTACTGCTTCTCTTTTCAAATGCAAGCAACAGTCAGGATGAGCCAGGCTTTGATCAGGAACTGGGAGCTTATCATGTCTGCCACATGGGTGGCAAAGACCCTCCACCGAGGATCTACATCATTAGGACTCAAGGCAGGTATCAAACTTACGTACTCAGATATGGGAGGGAGGAGTCTTAACTGCTAGACCCCATTTCCCACCCTCACTCCCCTCCTCCCCGGCTACAGGAGTTTTTAATTCGCATTTAAAATATTTCATTTTTTATTTGTTAAGCAAAGAGAGAGAGAGAGAGAGAGAGAGAGAGATCCACAAAGTCAGCTCCCAATTACTCCCTAAATATTGCACCAGCCAGGACTGGGTAATGCTTAAGCTGTGAGCCAGGAATGCAGCCCAGGTCTCCTAGGTGGGAGACAAGGATGCACCTACTTTGAACCATCACTTGCTGCCTCAGAAGATGCATACACTAGCAGGAATATAGGGTCCAGAATGGAGTACACTCATATCCAGGCACTTCAACATGGATTGCAGCATCCTAATAAGCACCTTAACTGCTACCGAAGCCACTTGCCTATCACAGAACATCTTCAAAGTGCTAAAATATGGGTCTGAGGAACTTTCTTCATTGAATTAATTAGCAGTGTAACATGAAACAGCTTTCCCTGGTGAATGCAACCCCCATCCTGATTTCTTTACTTCCTATGCTGTTTTATATTTAATCCTTTGGGGAAACACTCCTTACTGTGAATCATCCCACGGACTAGTTCTTAAAGAGCAAGTAAAACAAGAAAAGGAAACTCACTTGTGACCATATATATTAACTCATAAATATATTTTAAACCAAGAATCGTGATACTTCAAATTATGATACAGTTTTGCCAAGTTCAGAAAATTTCTTTACATATGGTATATGCATTCAAGTGGTAGGTATTTTTCAAAGTTACTTTATATATCATAAGCATATTTCAGATTGAGTCTTATCTTATAATGATGAAGTATAATATTGTACTTATGCATTATACTAAATTGAAGTTGAGTAGCTACATGAAATCACTCATTAAAAAATACATTCTAATTATTTAGTATTCAATTAATTAAATACCTTTTGTAGACTGGTAGGATTTAGTTGAGTTTTGTCTATTATTTTCACAGCAACCTAAAAGACAAAATTATTAAATTACATTTGAGAATATATTTTGAATGAATAAAAACTTAGCAACAAAAAATAGTTCATCCTCAACCACACAAAGACTGGCACTATGCAGGTGTTCACATAATTGAATGGTAAAACTTCGATAATCCATTTCGTCTCAATTTCTCCTTTTTAAAAAAATCCATTCTGTATTCAGTCATTTATTCATGTTATTGATACAGTAATTTTAGGGCGAGTGGCATACAAACTTGTAAAAGTAAACTATTACAGGAAAAATTACTCCATGGGCTTACATGGAATACACAGGTTTGCTTATGGCAAATGGCAAGATGAATACGCATCTTTTCTAAGGCTCTGCCTAGCATGGCCTTGCAGAACAGCTCTGACAGCAAGAAAGGACTAAGCTAAATGGGAAATGACAATAATACCAAACATAAGCAAGGAGAAAATTATTAAAAACAATTTATGATTGAGGTTTTTTCTAATGTTCTAATGAAATCCAATGAGTACTGCATAACACAAAAAGTTAAAAGCTTAATTCATTGAATAAAGTCTTTATGCCCAACATAAACACACGTATATAATATACATATATGCAGGTGAATACATTTTTATTCTAAATACACATAGCTTAAAATGCATAGGACTTTGGAAAACCAATTCTCTTATAACCTGAAAAGACAACCTGTTTAGCATTATTGGCCAATATGGTCTCTAAACAGAAAAGAATTCATGTGTGGCTTTCTACATATTTACACCTAACATACTTTAAGCAGTAATTAACAAACAATAGCTTCTCCCAGCCTTGCTCCTGGGTAGCAATGGTAATCAGAAACATTCTCAGAAACCAAATAATGAAAGACATTTGAAAAGAACCCATCTGTAGCACAGCTGGTTTGTAACAGATGCTAATGTAAACGGGAGATTCATTTATGTCAATAGGCCAACTTTCACACAATGACACAGCTCTGTCTAATATTCCACTTACACATAGCCATATCATGCATATTTCCTAGACTGCAACTGTCTCAACTTCCCAACATCAGCTATAAGAAACCTTTCATACATGGCTCTGAAGAAGTATAGAAAAATATTAAAAGGTAGCACAAAAACTTACCTCTCTACCAGTTAAAACATGTCTTGCCAATTTCACTTTGGCAAAATTTCCCTTCCCTATTGTTTTCTGTAAACGGTAATTTCCAATGTGAGGCTGTTCGTCTGTTGCTGATGTAATAGAGTTTCTACAACGGGGGATGTTCTGTCTGCTACTTGATTTGGTAGGCTGGATGTGTGGCTCAGTGTATCCATCCACAGATGTATGCTAACAAAAAATTACAAGATTTCTTTGTTAATTAAGTAATATTACAAAGGGATAACTTAAAGCAATTTAAGCAATTCTAAATCAGTGAAAATACCCACACTATACAATTTGTTCATTTCTAAAGTCAGAATTACAGAAAGAGAAGATCTTCCACCACTGGTTCATTCCCTAAATGGCTACAACACACAGTGCAGCACCAGGCCAAAGCCAGTAGCTTCATCTGGGTCTTTCATGGGGATATCAGTGGCCCAAATACCGAGGGCCATTTTGCATTGCTTTTCTCAAGTCATTAGTAGAAGCTACACGGGAAGTAGAGCACCTGGACAGGAAGTGGCACCTAGGTGGGATGCTGGTGTGGTAGATGGCAGCTTTACCCAGTATGCCACAACCCCTCATCTTTGTTTTCTTCTCTTTTTTCTTAAAATTGATTTTATTTTTAAAGACAGAGGGAGGCAGTACACAGTTTTACAGTCTGAGCATTCCATTTATAATTTCTTCCTGACTTCTGTTCCCTTTACTAGGGGTGGTGGGGAGGAACAAATTCAAAATGCTCTACACAGCCGTAGATACATACTGCTGACTTAAAACATGTAAATGGATATAGATGGGTAAATGTCCCACAGCTTGAAAGTGTGTTACACCACGATGAGCTGAAACAACAGCACAGACCAGGATTGCTTCATTGAAAGGACAAGTGTGTCTACTGTCAAGATGTCTCTAGACTAGCCAAGCTGAGATGCTCTTAACCACTTACTCACCCTCTGCTGAGTCAGCTGTCTTTTTCCAAGAACCTTTACTCAGTTCCTGCCCTGACCCATTCACCTGCCATACTAAGCCCACATAAGTCCCACTATCCACCTGCCTGCCCAGGTCCACTACCTAATGTGCACCACAGCCTGCTTATTGCTGTTCTTCAGACATATATGTCACTTTCTGACTTCTTAAAGAAGGCGTCACTTGGGATGCCACGTCCCATGTCAAGTGTCAGTTTGAGTCACAGCCACTCCACTCCTGACCCCCCTCCTGTTAATGAACCTCGGGAGGCAGCACAAGATGGCCCAAGTACTTGGACCCCTATCACCCACATTAGAGACTCAGATGGAGTTCCAGGTTCCTGGCTTCAGTCTGGCCTCACTCCAATTGCTGCAGGTATTTGGCAGAATAAACCAGCAGATAGAATTCTCTCTCTCTCACACACACACACACACACACACACACACACACTTATCTCTTTCCCTTCCACTCTCCTCCACTGTTTCTCCATCCGTCACTCTGACTTTCAAATAAAACCTTATTTTTTTAAAAAAAGAAAAATAGGTGAAAACGAGAACCAATTAGCAAAGGTGCAGTCAGCAGACACTTTCTGCAACCCCCTATCAAAGCACCAACTTGAGTACCAGTTTCTCTGCTCTGATCCCCCTGCGAGTTCCTGTGTGAAAGCAATAGAAGGTAGCCCAAGAACTCGGGTTCCAACCACCCGTAGGAGAGACCTGGATGGAAGTTTTGTCTCCTGGCTTTAGCCTAGCCCAGCCCCAGAAGTTATGGCCACTGGGGAACAAACTAGCAGATGAAAGATGTCTCATCCTCCCTGTTACTCTGCTTTAAAATAAATAAAATACATCTTTTAAAAATAAAACTAAAAAGCATGTTGAGCAAAACTGCCTTAAATTTATGATTATGAATTTTATTAAAGATAAATTCATTTACTAGTTTTAGGTAAAGCATGACTCATGATACTTTTTCTATTTGTTATTACCTGCTTATCTTTTGTTATGATTTTCTTACATTTTTATTTTAAACTCAGCGCAGGATTTAGGGTTTTATCTGTTGGCCTTCCAAGCACCTGCAGCTTTTGGTCTCATTCTGAGTTATATGCCCTTTAGCTGTATTCTCATAACAACTGTATTTCCATGTCTTACAACATTTCACTGCAGTATTATCATATAATTACTTATTTGTTTCCACCATCCTACCATGAGCAATTTTAGAATAGCGATGCTTTTTCTATCTTTATATACCTACTACACTGCAGAACACCAGACACACAGGAAGGATCCAATAAACTACCAGCTTTAAAAGTGTTATCCCTGGATCAACACCATCTGGGAACTTCTTAGAAATGCAAATCCCCTGATCCTGTTCTAGAAACTTGGGGATGGGGTCCAGCAAACCATGCTTGAACTATGTCATCCAGGTGATCCTGATACATGCTCAAGTTTAAGAATTACTGCAATAAATAATGTAGGAAGGAGCTACATACAGTTATTTACTGGTCCTTAGAAACTTCTATTACCCAGACATATACAAAGAGATTTTCAATTATTTTCCATTTCTAAGAGTAAAGAGACTGCTAAATAGTGAGTACCCACACTTGTCGTACTAGGAATGCAGACTTGCCCACCCTTCAAGACTTAACAATATAATTTTCTCCTCCTCAAAAAGAGATTATGTCTCTTTTACTGCTTCCATTATATCTAGCCAATATTTTTAAACTATCAGCTAACTTCTTGTAGAGATGAAGAAAAAGACATAATTTTTTTGCCTACCTAGCTTGTAGGCTAAATCTTTTTCAAAAAATATTTTTTAAATTTATTTATTTTTATTGCAAAGTCAGATATATATAGAGAGAGGAGAGATAGAAATATCTTCAATACAATGATTCACTCTCCAAGTGACCACAATGGCTGGTGCTATGCCGATCCGAAGCCAGAAGCCTGGAGCTTCATCCAGGTCTCCTTTATGAGTGCAGGGTCCCAAGGCTTTGGGCCGTCCTCGACTGCTTTCCAGGCCACAGGCAGGGAGCTAGATGGGAAGAGGGGCTGCTGGGATTAGAAGAGGTGTCCATATGGGATCTTGGAGCGTTTAAGGCAAGGACTTTAGCCGCTTGGCCACAGCGCCGGGCCCTAAATCTTGATACTAAACCAAACCACGAAACAGTACATTATTAGCCACAAATTCTTACAGATTTTGCCATGTAGTTTCCAGTGTCCCACCCTGAGAATGAGGCAAGGTTCCTAAGCAATACACAAAAATATTACTATTTATTATTACTTATTCCTTTGAGAGGCAGAGAGACACAGCATATACGTTTCCACTGGTTCACATTTCAGATGTTCACAACAGCCAGGGCTGGGCCAAGATAAGACTAGGAGCCAGAAGCTCAATTCAGTGACACACATAGACGTCAGGGACCCAGCGACTTGTGCCATCACACTGTTTCCCAGAATGCACTTTTGCAGGAGGCTGGAATGAAGAGCACAGCCAGATCAAAGCCAGACACTCCGATCCATGATGTGCGCATCCTAACTGGCAGCGTAATGGCTCGGCCAAACACCTGCTACTTTTATATTTTAAATTAAGACAGAAGGGGCAGTGATTTAGTACAGGTTAAGCCACTGTTGGAATATCCAGATCTGATATTAGACCGACTGAGTCTGGCTACTCTGTCTTTGGTCCAGCTTCTTGCTAATGTACATTCTGAGAGATGGAGGTGATGGCGCAAGCCTTTGGTCCACTGCTACTCACAAGCAGGACCAAGCTGGAGTCCCTAATCGGCCTGCCCTGGCTACTGCAGGCATTTGGGGGAGTAAGCTAGCAGAAAGAAATCAGTTTTCTTCTTTCCTTCTTTCCCCCATTTCTCTGTTTCCTTCATTTTCTCCCTCGTAAGAAAACCAACACCTCCTAACCAGGTAAACAATCCCATTTCCTTGAGTATCTGTTGCCTGTAACCGTTTCTGGGACCAATTTCTTTACTAATCAAGTTTCTTTTCTGAAAGCAACAGAAACCAACTCACGTTAAAGAGAAAAAAAGTATTTTTTTGGAGTCTATAGGTAGTTGAAGAGTGAGACTTGCATTCTAGTGAAAGACAAGAAAGTGCAAATAGCTCAAATAAAAGTCAAAAGAATTACACTTGGTAATAAAGGCAAAATATAAAATACAGTGATGTCACAGAAGAGGGGTCAGGAGAGTTGGGTTGAGCATGAAAAGAAGCCTATTAACTCTCAAAATGGATTTTGATTTTCTCTTTCTGAGTGCTTCCTGGCCACACTTTAAAAGATGATGCTGCCCACAAAGATCATCAGAAACAAAGAACACAAATTTTCCAACAGTGACTAGATAAGGCTCCTCAATCTCTACTGTAGTTAGTGTCTCATAACATTTCAATGAAAGTGAAAACCTTAGCAATTCATTTAAAATCACCCCCTGATATCAAAAGCAAATTGTGATGTTTTATGATTGCTTCTTAACCTAATTGGTGGTTATTTGAATATTCAGAGATTCCTGAGAAATCAAATCACCTATTAGACCTGAAAGTAATTGCTGTGAGGATTACACAGGAGTAGGGAAACTTCTACTCTCTCAAGGGCCATTTGGATATTTCTAACATCATACACAGGCCACACAAAATTACATTTAAAAAAATTAGCTTGCTACAGATTTATTGGATTTCAAATCCCACCTGAAGATGTCTTGGCAGGGCCAGACCAAATGATTTTGTGGACCATGTGCAGCCCAAAAGTTGAATGATCCTCACCCCTGGGCTTTGCTACGTTTGTATGCCACAACCAGTCTCTGATGAACTAAACACCAGCACCAGAACAAGCCATGGCAACTCAAACAATAACCTTCCTAAACTCACTTTATTAAAAGAGTAGGGGATTTTACTTTTGCACAATGAGTGAATGAATATATTGCATATGACTAAACCTATCAGCAGATAAAAACATAATATTAAGAAAAACTTTGAAGGCCCTGAAGAACCACTAAAAGCAGCAAACTCTGGAGGGAAATTGATCCTGTGAGAGGGGAAATGGTTTCTCCTTGGGGGCCTACAAACCTTGGTCCCAATGGCTCCAGGTCACTTAAATTCAAGCAGAAACAAGAGTTTTACTGGTAAGGGAGTGTGAAGATGAAGCTGGGTGCTAATGGAATGGTGGGAAAGTGACAGATAAACTCTGGGCAAACATGAAGTAACAGAACACAATAGCCTAACTTTATA